CAAATTAAATAAGTGTTTCCAAATTAGTTCCCCTAGCGACAACAAGCACAAGGTAATGGGATGTACTAAAAAGCTGGAACTACCAATAATATGTAACAAACTTAGTACAGAGGTCTTGTGTTTATTGTATTTTCGTACGTTACAGGAAGTTAAAGAAGAAGAAGACAAAGAATGGCCCAGGCAGGTAAGGTTTCTCTATCTGTCTATATATATATATATTATAAAAATATAAGGTTTTTAGCTAAGGTTGTAAAACAACTGTCGTTGATTTCATTAAAGGTTGTGACCAACCAAACTCGCAGTTCTGACTAGCCATCACACTGAAAACTAGCGAAAAAATAATAGTATAGGCTGCTTTCGTACAATTTTCAACGAGTAGATTAGGTTTGGCTATTAAAGATTGTCAGTGAATAAGAACACAGATATAGAATATAGCTCGTTGAATTTTTATTGCTATTATTTTAGGTTTCAACCTAGTATAGTATTGAGGTAAACAAAGCAATTGTACCTTACGGTTCCGCCTGACGATGCGCCGTTACTAGGCAAACCATGGTGGTAATGAATATTTGTGAAACGTACAAACTGTCTTTCTTTTCCTCAGTTCTGTAACTGTGGAGTTTAACTAAGTACCAACGGTTTGAAGTATTAATTATATATATATATATTCAACCCAGTATTTTCTACTGAACGTGAGAAAAATTAATTATTTTTATTATGCCTTGCATCAGTTGCTATGGTAACGTCATACAGTTTATGCGATAATTTTGTTGTTCCTGGTACAATACATATACTTAGATTACACGACTGTTAGCAATATACATGCGCACAACTAACTATATTCGCCATATAGTAACAAGAATCAGTAATACAGCTGTTGATCTTTCATATGTTAGATGTTTAACATATTTTTTTATATTTCGAAATATAATGTTTATCATTTAAAGCAAAAAAAAAAAAATTAAGTTAATACAAATTCTCCGAGTTCGATATGTCCATCGCTAATAACTAACAAAATGTATATAGTAGGCTAACAGGTAGTTCCAAAAAAGAGCAAATTTTCATATTACGTTAAGAAATGTTTCCAGATGGGAATACATTTGTGTAATATTTAAAAAAACAATCCCACATATAAAAAAGTGAATATGAAGTACATATATATATATATATATGTAC